CTAAAACATTTAATTATGCATTTTCATATTTAGTGTCTACTTATTTAATTAATATGCCCATTTTCCCAATATTTCATTTTCTATTAGTTATAGGTTAATCTGTGAGGATATATTTTTCATAATGCATTTCAACACTGATTCAACTGTGTGAAACAGCAGGATGTAGCAATCTGTTTTTGTCCACCACCTCTTTTTGAAAGCTAAATTAGGTATCTCTTTTCAGCAGTGCATTTTCCTGGTTACACTAGGCAGAAGAAAAGTTCCTTCTCCAATGAAAACAGCACAGATGTTTCAGATGGCAAAGCATTACAACAGACTTATACAGTTAAAGCAATTCAAATTAATTTCACAATAGAAAGAAAAGTAAGAAAAAAAATTAGGCATAATTTAGTAGTTCCAGAGAGTATTATCACACCCTGAAACCTTGCTTCTAATATGCAACACACAAAAAGATTTGTGGAGACAAGCACTTCTTTTGAATGTCAGAGAAGTTTCTGTGTTTTTCTATTGATGTTCTTTAGCCAAGAGCAGTGTTCCAGGAACTCTAGAAATGCACAGCTCTTATGTTGCTTTACTTGGAAGGTTTTAGCCTTCTAATCTAGAACACTAATAGCAATTCTAATTCATCATTTCAAATATTATTCTTGGTCCTTGAACCTGTCTTTCTTTCCTTGATACTGACTAGCACAAGGAAATTTCTTGGATGATCTAAAAATAGTGGCCAGACCCCAAACACAGGCAAACCAACATCTGCTTGGAGCAAGAGAACAACTCTCAGAAAGTCCAGAACTGAAAACAGGAGAAAAAAGTAAGCAGGACACAACATGGCATAACAGGGAAAGATTTGAAGGAGATAGGAAGGGATGCAGAAATCCTTCCATCTGCTGAGGTTAAAGGTTGACATATCTGTACAGTAGTATCTGAAAAAGAAGAGCTTTAAGGGATTTTCAGGGTTTTGGAATTACTGGAATCTCTGACATAACAGCCCTTTTCTTGTTCTAGGTCCACCCCCACCCCAGTCTTTAAATATTATCTGAATATCCATTGAAGTTAGTTGGAAGATTCCATTTTGTTCTGATGAAATCTAAAAAAAACACATTCCTATGCTCTCATATAATATCTTTTTCTCTGTTCCCATTCCTTAATCTCTTTGTCTGCTTTGGGTTATGTTTATTTGTTCTTCTGTCTCCCTTTAGCTCTTTAGTTCTGATGGTGGCATTTTATTTGGTGGTTTTTAGAGTGATTGACCAGAGCAAACATAAGAGCTGCTGTAAAAAAACACAAATTTCAAGTTATAGACTAAAGCTTCAGTCCAATTTGTCATTATTTGATCTATCAAATATGAAACTATTTAATTATATCAAAATATTAAATTTCTTTTGAAAAGATGGAAAAAAATTACTGTAGCTTCATAAATTTTTATGAATCAGCTGTGCTGTGGTCATTGACCACAGACATACTTTTAGCCCCTTGCAAATTCTAGAAAAGCATGTTAGCTTAATTGAATTTTAAGCTAGGACATTTTTCTTGGCAGGCTAAGAGCGAGCACATGGGCAATTATACTGCTCTGGTACCACACAGTAATTCATTCAGCCACAGATCAACTGTTTCTTCAAGCACTTCAGTCTCTTGAAGAAAGCTGACTGAATAATACAAAGCACAAATTACTTGATAAATTTATATATTGTATTTCAAAATTCTGAAGATTTTTCAAAATATTTATATGAAGAACTAGTTGTGTCTGGGATAAAGAACAAGTTTGATATCCTAGATTGACAAACCTAATTAGAGTGATAAATTTAAATGATGAACACATAAATAATTTGGGAGTTTATCTAGTTTTAGTTACTCTCTATGACAGAGTTAAGAGGGGGCAATTACTTCTGGAAAACATCTACTTCTTAATTCATGTTTTAATTATTTTGATTATGCTTAATAAATGCCTATAGTAGTTTCTAGCTACTGTGTTTCAAACAAAAATAATTCAGACATTCCATGTAGCTCATAAAATGCTAAAGTGACATACAGAAAATGGTATTTTTCTATAGTTGCAAAATGAGTCGGAATCACAGGGAGCCATGAGGGACAGAAAAGCTGTTGTTAGATTATCCATTGCAGTGCAGTCAAATCATCACTTCTCATACTCCTAGGGATGTAACAGGACAAAAATATTTGAAGCCTTCTGGTTTATGTTTGATGTTGCATGAGGCCTAAACAAATCACCAGGGACTAGCAATTCTGTGCTCCAGAACTCCTTTAAAATTAGTTTCTTATTCTCTTTCTTTCATTCTGGATCTCTGCCATGCCTTTTTTTTTTTTTTTTTTTTTTTTTTTTTTTTTTTTTGTCTAAATACATTGGTGAGGCATAGTACAAGTTATATTCATTCATGGATGGGCATGATTGTGATGAAAAGGCTTGGGGCTGACTCATCATGTTGTTAGAGTGACAGAAGAGCTTCCTTCCACCTCCCTCTGGCTCACACCTCTGTGAACATTAATATCACAAAATCCATAAGCGCTTTGGAAAATATTTTCTATATTGCAACTTCCTATTTCTTTAAAAGGAGAACAGTACCTTCCACATAGAATCACAGAATAGTTTGGGTTGGAAGGCACCTTTAAAGGTCATCTAATCCAACCTCCCTGTAATAGGCAGGGACATCTTAGATGAGATCAACCTCTTCCAGTGTTTTACCACCCTCATTGTAAAAAAAAACTTCTTCAGTCTATCTAATCTCATGGGTTTGTAAGAACTATGGTAGTAATGTCTGTCAGGTACTTTGGGAAACCTTTATTGGAAGTACAGACTAAGTAAATTCAGCACATGGTCCATTATTATTCCCCTGATAATGTTTGGTAATATTCTGGGTAAAGTACCACTAATTACAGGACTACTTTATGAGGCTGAATTCCAAAGCACTGTTATAATTTACATTCTGTATATAATCAAAATTACGTCATTTCAGAGAAACAGTTAGATTTCCTTCCTGTAACTACATTTATGCAAGGTATTATAACCTAATAGGACAACAGACTGAGCAATCAGCAGTAATAAGATTTTATTTTAATGTAATAATAGCCAAGAACTAAGTAAAAGAAATAGACAGGAAAACAAAATAGAAGCAGAAAGGAATACATGCACAGACCCACCAGTCTGATGCCATGATAAAGTATAGGGGTGGCATTCGTACCATTAAATCCATCTTTGACTTCAGTGTGGCATCATTATGCCTAGGCTGAAGAATACTTCACTATTTATTAGTTTAATGCTGTGTTCATTTTAAAACATTGTGTGCAACTCTGTTGAAATCAGGGTATAATAAATATATCAAAATGTCTCCCACAATAGGAAATACACAGCATTTAGGTTAAGGTATCATGATGTAAAACATATTAGTTGAATAAAATAAGAGAGATATGAGTATTGATCTGTTTCATGACCATATCCAGGCATTGAGTTTTCACCAGCAGTGGAAATATGATTTGGGAGAGCTTTGTCATATGGTTAGAAACCCGTCCAAGTGCTGTCAATTACTGTCTTATCTCTACAGCCTGGTTCAAGTGTCCAGTTAATAAATATTCTCTAGCTTCCATTCTGGTTGAGACCCACAACTTCCTTGTATCAAACACCTGTGCAAGTTTATTTAGATTCTTAGAGTAAATTTGCAGAAAGGCTGTGATAAGTGGGTTGTATAAACACTTACACATCTGTCTTATCCTCTAAAGGATTATCTTGCATCTTATCTCTTTGTCTGCTATTGAAATGTTTCTTAAATAAGCTGAAATTGAAGAGGGAAAGTGAATGGGAAAATCAAATTGAAGTATTTCTAGGGTTGTTTTTATTTTTCTGTTTGTAACATATGACAGCTGCAAGAAATTGCATAAGAGAAAAAAATCAAAAGCTTAAGTATCAAAATCTTTGCTTACAAGCTACTCTTATTTAGCAATCATGCTTGCATAATAACCACAACTTGGAGCACATGATTCATAGGAACAAGTAATCAAGTCTATAAAACCCCATAGCTTGTACCTAAATATATTTGGGGTTTTTTCAGGAATAACTTAGAGAGATTAAATAAATATTATGTGGTGTGGTCATAAAACGTTTTTATTGATAAACTGTTTGGCAATATAAAAATTTAGCTTCATTTCAGCACGTTCATATTTTTTTCTTCTTGCTGCTTATTATTTATACTTATGAAGAGTGAACTTAGGATCATGAAGCTGAGATTCATTGAAGAAAATTAAGTTCAATTTACGGTACAAAAATGACTCCATGGAGAAGGGATACATTTAATATATCCAGCTGTGAAAACACCAAAATAGAAACTAAACCCATGTAACTTAAATGATTAGTCACAAAGCTTGACATATGAGCTATAAATAGTAAATAATAAACTGAATACTTGAATGTATCCATTAAATTTGAGTAAATTTATACAATTAATAGCTTCATAACATCTAGAATTGCTAGCACACAATTTTGCAAAGAGAAATGAGGCTGTGTTCTCCCCATAATTTACTCATAGTAAACAATTTTAATTAGTTTTTAAATGGTGGAAGAAATTTCATGAATGGTGAGACTTTCCACCAAGGTCATAGAGAAAAAATGTTTAGTTTTTCAATATACTTGGAATTTTCAAGTTAATCTTTTAATCAGACACATAACACAGGTTTTATATGTTCTCATGACAGACCAGCAGTACTCATGGTCGCCTTCTCAGCACTTCAATGAAGAAAGATATTCTCCTGCTCCGAGGAATATGAAAGGATTATCTGGTAGTCGCAATCAACCACAGTTATGTTCAGCTCATACTTGTGGCTTAGCATCCCCTGAAGATTGTGAACATACCCACGACCATATCCACCATGGGCAGGAGCCAAGGCCGTCATATCTTCTCAGCCCCACGGAGAGTTGCCCGCTGGACCACCACCGTTGCTCCCCCCGCAGCTCCATCCATTCTGAGTGCATGATGATGCCCATGGTAATGGGCGATCACATGTCAAGTAGCACTTTCCCCAGAATGCACTACAGCTCACATTACGACTCCAGAGACGACTGCGCCATGTCTCACGGTAACCCCAAGATTAACCGTATTCCTGCGAATCTTTTGGACCAATTTGAGAAACAGCTTCCTCTTCACCGGGATGGGTTTCATACTTTACAGTACCAGCGGACCTCAACAGCTGCGGAACAACGCAGTGAGAGCCCGGGAAGGATTCGCCATCTCGTTCATTCCGTCCAGAAACTTTTTACTAAATCTCATTCCCTGGAAGGATCATCCAAGGGCAATGTTAATGGAACAAAGGGAGACAGTCGAGGGGACGATCATCATCATGGGCACCATTCCAAGCATAGCAAAAGGAGTAAAAGTAAGGAGCGAAAACCAGAAGGCAAGCATAAATCTGGAATGAGTAGCTGGTGGAGCTCTGATGATAATTTGGACAGCGATAGCACTTACCGAACCCCTAGTGTGGTAAATAGGCACCATGCAGATCATATATCCCATTGCTATCCTGAGGCACTCCAGGGGCATTTTGGGGATCTCTCATTGAAGACTTCCAAAAGTAACAATGATGTGAAGTGTTCGGCTTGTGAAGGGCTACCAATGACCCCTGATAGTAAATATATGAAAAGGAGTTCTTGGTCCACGCTTACAGTAAGTCAGGCTAAGGAAGCTTATCGCAAATCATCACTGAACTTAGATAAGCCTCTGGTTCATCAGGAAATCAAACCTTCTTTGAGGCCGTGCCATTACCTTCAGGTAAGAGGAAGATTTTCTTGAGATTTTTAATGAAAAGAGCATCACAGTATATATAATAGTCATTGTAAAAAATATACAAAGGTACCTCTCAAAGAATTTCTGTATGGCTCTCCTAATGCAAGTATCAGATATTCCATTAAAGTGAGAAATCTCTGGCCTTTGTCTTTGTTTATAGACCACAGATTAAAAACTATAAAACAGGTGTGATATAAATTAGTTTCAGGTCAGTAGATGTGTTTTCATCTTTGGAATTCATCCTGAACCCCTTGATGAAATATATATATCACACTAAAAAAGGAGCAGTACTCTCAGCAGTCTGAGAGCTAGAAAGAGTGTTTCAAATACATCCATGAATGAGTGATTTTAAAGACAGGCTCTGGGAAATCCTATTTTTGTGTTCTTTTATTCCTTCTCTCCATGTTTTTGTAAGTAACATGGATGGATTTACAAGATGAATGGATTTACTGGTGTGCCAAATTGCTTTGTTGTGGTGATGATCACCCACATATTTCTTTTTAATAATCACCCAGGATCACTGAACTGAGCCTCTTTTGAAACCATACTATAACAACATATGTGTTAAAAGATACACAGGTACCTCAGGGAGAGAGATATTTCAGGCCTGGGCCTCAGACTGGTTTTGATGGTGTTCTGCACATGTGTTCTCTTGCAGCAACAAAGAAGCTCCCACTTTCTCCTACATTTAAATTTCAATACCTCCTGCTTGATACCATTTGCCACTCCAAAGTCAAGTTAATGTAACTATTTAGCATGCTGCAAAATGATCTGGATCATAAAGTGACATGGCTTTAAAGAATACTTTCCAAAATACTATTTTTAGACATTTGTATAATTTACCTGGCCTACGTTCAGCACAGTCCCATCACAAGAGGCATAAGCACATCAGATTATACGGAGAATTCTAGTGGTTGCAGAGCAAAAGCACAGAGAAGTTATCCTCAGAGGATAACTTCTTCAGCTAGCTTTGTCACCACAAAAAAAAAGTAGTATACAAGTATTCCTTTAGTAATTTATACTAAGTATAGCCTGCAAAGCCCACATTGTTCTGAGTACGTTCTGAGTACATTCTCTTCTATTTCTTTTTAAGCAACTCCTCTTTCTCCAGAACTTCACCAATTCTCACATTAACATGGGGAAATCTCTAGTCCAGATCTATGTATTATGAGATTTTCAGTTTCTCTGGGCCCTACAGAAATTACTGTACTTCTGTGCAGAACTCTCTCCTCTCAGAGGTATAGGTATCCAATAGTGGTGAGTCACACTGGAAGAGCCAGATCTTTTCAAATGCATATGCAGACATCCAGGATCAATCTTCCCTACTGAAACAGGGAAAGTTTCTGATTGCAGAGAAAGGAAAATAAATTGCAGCCCTCAGAGCATTACCATGCAAATTGATTCCAAAGTAGACTGATAGCTGTGGTATTTTATCATATCCAAGTACATTCTCATGTATGTAAAATAGACTGCACTTCCCTGGAAGTTTTTGATCTAACTCAACAAGCCAGAACTGGAAGTGCGTCATGTGCAGAGCTTCCATTCTGTCTACGTTCTAAAACCATGCATACAGCTGTGACATTACAGAGAAGTTTAGTTATGATTAGATTTTCCCTTCCCATTACATACTTTTACCCTGAAAACTCTGGTTCCTCTATACCTCTTTTGGCTTTAGTGCTTTCCTTTTGGATCACGTTTCATAATTTCTTCTTCCCCACGCCCCCACTCCTATATCTCATTTGCCTTTGCAGAAGCTATCATTTTTTAATTTTCATTTGCCTTCTCCTTACTCCCAACTTTTATCAGCATCCTCAAGTGAATGTGAAAGACTGAGCTCACAAACTAACTTGGTTATCACCAAGCTTTAGATTAAGCCCAGTGACAGGCTTAGTGGTTGGAAAAGCACACTTCTTTACAGCCATTTTTTATGCTTTTTGTGAATTAGGATTACTACAGAAAGGAATTTTCATTCAGTAATTAGGAAGGCTTATCCAGCTTAAAATCTAGGAGATGGATATTCAAATTTTTGCTGCACAGAGACTTTGTGATCTTTGTTTTTAAGACACTTTAAAAATGGGACAGTACCCATTCCCTATTCACAGGGATCCCATAATGGAAATGTGTTATGACTCAAGTGCTCAGTTACTACCACAAGGAATCTCTACTTGTGTCCAAAGCAGTAATACAAGGAATTCTATAGCAGAAATATTCTAATTACAAATATTAAAATAAAACATATGTTTCATCATATCAGAATATCCCGTTCAGAGCATAGATATCCTTCAGACTGAGTAGGTTGCTTATTCACTGCCCAAGGTCAGCAAACAAATTGAGGGGATTCCATTCTGCCAATGTCATAACTAAATGCTTGGTTTTGACACTTCTGCTTTGAGGGATATTGGGCTGTCACGATGTAATCATTAAGATCAGAAATACGTCCCATTATTACCTCTGCCAGGAACTTTCTCTCTGGCCCAGGAAATGCAATTTGTTAATCTCTCAACACTTCAATTGCTTTATCTGCAAAACTGAGGAGGGATATTTAACTTTTCTTATGGCAGTATAAGCAGCACCACTGGATAATGATTGGATAAAAATAATCATTAGGTTCAGAAACCAAGAAAAGTAGAGAAACATGTCAAAATTCCTACCCAGGAGATTTTACTGCCTTGCTCAAAAGTAGATGGCAATGAGAATTCAAGGGATTATGAAGTTGATGTGCAGCAGCAGATTTCCCTGAGGTGCACAAGTGAACAGATTAGCATAAAACCCAAAGGCTTTTCACAGGGTCTCTCTTTTTAAAGTTGTATTAAATACATTTTTCCTGACTGATGTTAGGTATATATTTTTAATTCTTTTTAAAATAAATTACAGTCCTTCAATGAATACACAAATATGTAAATTACCTCTGAATAACAAAAAATAAATGTCTATATTTATATATTATTATCAATTATATATATATTATATATATCTTTTTGTTCTACTACCTTTTTTCTACTTTTGTTCTACTACATAGTTATATGCGGTTTCTCAGTAGCCACCTCACTTTTCTATCTATTGGTTTTCTTCCTATTATTTTTTTCAGTATCTGCATGGAATATTTCTACTTCTGTTTTCCACTGAGACTTTTGATATAGGGAATCTCAGACTGAAAGACCATGGTAGTCTTAGACCTATGCTTGAGACTTTGTTTACTGTCTTATATTTCTGAGCTTCTACTTTGTCTTCTGTCATAATTACTGAGCTGTTTTTCCTTCAAACTGAAACTCTGAAGTGAGTATAGGAATTTTCTTTCTAAGAAGGAAGCTACTAGCAAATTAACAAATGCCTGGGAAAAGGAGATAAGACAAGGGATTTTGAAGTTTTCTGCTCTTTATATGCTTCAGTCATGTCTTAGAGTTGAAAGCAAGTATTTCTTTAACCTGGTAAATCTCCAAGCTTAATCTCTGGCTCCTCTTTTAGGGTTTTGCATTTCCTTCTCCACACAGAGTCCTTGCAGCTAAGGCATCTCCTTGGACTGGGAGTGTGGTGCTGGAAGTCAGAGGTGATTCAGCCAGCATGCCTTTTTCAAGCATGGGTGGTCATCTAGTCCTAAAGTAGATGGTTTGAGAGAACTAAATTAGTTGAAATACAGTTGTATAAAATAGTGATTATTTTTATCATTTAAAACCCAGATCAGATTTGCTTCACTCCTTCTGCAGTGGAGGTGATGGTGATGGGAGCACACAGGAGCAGGGGAGAGGGGAAGAGTGAGAAGCTCATTTGGGAGGGCTGTAGTGTCAATGGTTGACCAATTATCACCTCAACAGCAGAGGGCTACCATTTGTAACTGTACACTAACAGCATTTATCAGACCATATCTTGTGAATGATTAGCTACAGTTACTATGTATGGGCCTTTAATTTCTATTTTGAATGCAAACAAATTGAGCATTTCAGTGCATTTCTGGGCATCCAACACTTTGCCACCTCACTCAGCAGCAAAACAGCCCAAGTAGAACATACATACAATAAAGCACACTTTTGTATATTTTAGCCATAGTGGCTGCTACTGTTTTCCAAGTAATTTTAATTTTAATATAAAATATGTTAAGAAGAAGATAAATGAGCTGTGAGATCTCCTCTGTGTTCATCAGCTGTTTTGGCTAATTAGGGTTCACATGTGTACAGTGCAATGACTTTGATTCATTCCACTCTGATATGAGTACTAGCAAGGAGCGAAGATTTTTAACAGAAAAAAGAAGAGATTAACTAGATAACTGTGCTGAAAGGATATGCACAAAAGAGTCACTTGTGGTTTCCAGAACTGAAATAACTTTGAATGCTAGTTAAAGAAAAATAATTCCCACAATAGAGCCAAAAGATAGGCAAGGGCTTCACACTCACCATGACTGTAGTTCTGGAGCACAGTGCGATGTGTCACTGATTAATATTCCTTCCTCATTCAACAGCCTCCAAAGCAGCAAGCTTGGGGTAAACATACCACAAGGTACAGTGAATGAGTCAGCACTAAAAAAGGAAATAGCATGTTGTTCTAAAAATGGCTTCAACCCACTCCTGTCTTCCTAGTGCATTTAAGTACGAGCGTCATCGGTTACAGCAGAGGCACTGCTAAGCATGTGGATAATAATGTCAGCTGTGTACTCTACAGAATGAAAGAAAAGCACAGTTGGTCTCTTTTAAAAAGAAAAAGAAAAAAAGCAGCAGTTTCAACAAGGGTCTTTGCTGGTTTAAGTTAAGGCTACATGGAGAAAACCTTTGAGGACAAGCTAATGGATAAATAGGCCTTAAGCCCTCAGTTACATTTTTCTCAGGATCTCTGCTGGTGGCAGTACAGATTCCCACAAATGAACCGCTGCCCTTGTGAGGCACACGACTGCTTTGTACTCTCCCTCTGATTTGCAAGGAGGGATTTGAACTCAATGCACTTTTCTCAGCACTTCATCTTTGTGAAACTAGATTGTATGTGCTTGCTTGACATAA